ACACAAACAACTTTAAATTCTCCACAGTTTGCCACTCACAGTTTCCTGAAACAAAATAAATGATGTAAAACGAAGCCAGAAGAGGTTTTGCTGGGAAGCAAGACAGCACAGAAACATCTGGAGCAATCAATGAGAGAGCGGGAGATAAAATGAAAGACAAAGAAAAACAGAGAGATTAAAAAGAGGGAGGAAAGATATGGTGAGGGAGGAAGAGGCCTGGTTTGGACATCCTCACATCCCTCATTCTTATCTCGTTTGGCTTTTTCTCGTGGTCTTAGGTGTCATGAATCACCCTCGTTATCACTGAAGGAGGAGCAATAATGTTTTTGCCTGCATCAGTGAGTGTCTGTGGCTGTTGTTTTAATTTCTCCAGCTGCTCCATACTGCAGGGGTTTTAACAGTAAGTGAACTCGCAGGAAATATTTGGCAAGTGTTTTACGCCGGATTCCCTATTTGATGCAACTTGAATTCAAACTTGTTAGCCTCAGGACCACGGCCACCAAGATACCGCAGCCTGTGGTTTTATTTGTCTGCACTGCAGATGATCTCATCAACCACACTACACTTCTAAATGAAACTTTCTGAAAGTAATCACTGAGGTGATATCTGTAAATGAATAACTTTCAGACTTGCCCAATTTAAAATCGTTGATAGCAATCTGATAGTAGATGGCAATCACTGACTGAATAATTTTTGGAGTCAAACCAATTCAATATGGCTGCCACAGCTAATGCATCTTTGCCTAGACCAGGGCTTTGCAATCTTTTCAATCAAAGTAGTTTTTTTTTCCACTTGGTTCACTTGATAAAATGTGTTCAAAGCCGTAAAACATGCTACAACTGTAATAATCAACTGGTGGCCCGTGGCCCAATTTGAGTTTGTTGGAGGGGTGTTGTACGGCCAGTGGAGGTGACATTATAAAACTAAAAATATGAAGTGAATTTGAACATTTATAATTTTTTACACTTTAGGTTAAGAAAGGTAATATGCATGTAAAAAATACAGTTCATACCAAGTCTAATAAAAGCTTCCTTTCATTTTTATTATTATCAAATCAAGTCACCATATTTTTTTATCAGCAACTTTTCTTAAAGGTATTAAAAAATCTTGATTGATTTAAAAAAATGCTGCAAGGCTGGAAATTGGATTATTGAAGTGGTCAAGAAACTAGCTTGATCTAATCATGTTTCACTAGTTAAATTTGTAGTTTCAACCACACAGTTGCAT